CCCTTACACCCATCAGAACCCCCCCTGGATCCCCCCAGGACCCCCCCAGACCACCGAGGACGCCCTCCCAATTCACCCCTAAGACTGCCATGAGCCTCAGGATGCCCTTTAGGACCCCCCCATTGAACAGGACCCCTCCCAAACTGAGGATTCAGGCGTACAGGACCCCCTCCTCAACCCCCCTCAAAACAGGGGACCCATGCATCCAGATGCCCCATGCCACCACATGGGTGGTGGGCTGAACTGGGGGGCCTTGGGTGGCACCCGGATGCCTTGATCCCCCCAGGACACACACACCCCCCTCCCAAGGCAGTTGAGTGTCTCAGTTTCCGTTTGGAAGGGGGGAGGCGGGAGCCATTCCCCAGGTGCCTGGGTCCCTTGTTGTGAGGGGTGGGGGGGTCCCTTCCCTGACACCTGGGTCCCTTGTCCATGGGGGTTGGGGGGGGAGGGCACTTCCTGGGCACCCCCACGGGATGTCAGTGTGGGGGTTGGGATGCCCACACGGATGCCTCAGTTCCCCCTGATGTGACCCTCTGTCACGGTCCACTCCTTGGTGGACCCATGATGGTTCATTTCAGCTGTGATCTCGAAGCACAAAAAGAAATGGCATCAGGTCCAGGAAGTTATGCTTTCAACACACAATCACTTTATTGGTTTTGCCTGTAAAGCGGCTTGCGATAGTGTTATAAGCGGTGGTGACAAATTTGATCCATGCCAATCAGGATTATCCAAATAGAATTTATTAAGCAAACAGTAAACAGGCAAAACAGCGCTGGGCGGCCAGGGAGTCGCAGCTCCACCAAGGGCTCGCAAATTCATCTTCTTTACAGCCCCCTTCTTATAGTCTATTGCTCCGGGTTGAGTTCCGGGTTGACGTGGCTTTCTCCAGTTTCTTCTTGGTTTCTGTCCCCTGTTTCTAGGGGGTCTCTTCGATGTTCTTCCTCTTCGTTGCGGTTCACAGCTTTCTTCTTCCTAGAACTTGTGCACTACCTACACAACATACATCGTAAAATATTTCTTTATAGGGCAATTAAAGCTTGACTAAAGATTCAGCTTAAACCCGGTTCCAAGAATCTGCATTGCACACAAGGTAATACAATATGAATCTATTCTACCTAAACGAATACCATAGAAACATAGCATTGCGGTTTAGCCTTTCGTGTTATACAGGATGTTACTATATCAGCTATAGCAAGCTTTAAGCTATTCTCTTCTTCAATTTATTTGGTTAACCCTTTACTTCTAGTTACATTGTCATTTATCATTTGCTCAAGATAACATTTGTTAGCAAGGTGTTTTTTAAACTACTGGTTGGATCAGCAAATTACTTCCAATCACTTATTACAATAGAAAGAAAGAAAAATAGGAAAGATGAAGTAAAAAGGGGGGGAAAGAGGATTATAGCTACCACCACGGTTCCACAGGCGTCCCAATGGTCCTGAACACAGAAAGCGTGCTGCTGCTTTTTCGTCGACCGTCGTGGTCTTTCGGTGGGGAAGATCTTCGGAGAGATCGGTTGTTGAGAAACCATCTTTTATGTTAGGTAGCACACCTCACTCCTCCTTGGACCCACCTCCACTCCACCTCTGTCCTGTGGAAAGGTGCCAATCTCCGCCTGTCTGCAATAATGCTTCCACACATGCCTGGGGAGGAGTGTCGGAGGCGTGGTCAGCTTCGGAAGCAGGTAGCTTCTTACCAGGAGGTGTGTTTTTGTATTATCGTACCAAGGTATTGACATGGCTCATACCCGTGTACGATGGGCACACCTCAGTCCTTTCTCCAAGTCTCATGACAGCCAGCTCAGCGAGCTGCTGCAAACTCATGTCAAGCTGTTAGCCCAGGTTTTGGGGGGCCTAGTCACTGATGAAAATGTTGAGACAACGCTGATCTTCTGATCGACTCTTACACCCTCCCTCCTCCTTAACTCCCCAAATCCCCCTGAACCCTTCCCCTGCCCCTCAGCTCCCCCACCAGCTCCGTACACATACCCTGACACCTGTAAAGGTCCTTCCGACCCAACCTGGTCTGTGATTCTACGATTCTTTGATTCATTTAAGACATCATTGCCTGGATACAGCACGGTCAAGCTGTAGGAGATCACCTGCTAAAGTGAGGACAAAACTTGGGCACTACACTTATACACAGATCTTTAATTTCAATAAATGGTGTCCCTGCTGGTACTAAAGCCAACCAAGGACTTGTGCCTCCTTGTGTTTGTGATTAAGCTGCAACATGGTGAGATCGAGGCGTTTTTAATCAATGGAAGACTCTTGTTTCAACCAGGCAAAGGTGTAGTCCTGCATTTAATCCAGCCATTCTTGCCAAACAATACTCAACACGAAAAGTTTAGAAAGTGAGAGTCTCAAAAGGATTCCACTTACTTTCATTCCATAATTTTGGATGGTAAAAACAAACAGGCATCAGAATTCTAGATATTAATGTAATAAAAATAGAAAGATGGACTAGATAGAATCAGCTGAACACTCACCTGTCCTCTAGACCTAACAGGGGAGAAATAACATGCTTTTGAATATGTAGCAGTGCCTTTTGGCAGATACGCCACATATAATTCCATACCACAGAAAACCATGGAACTTGATTGACTATTTAATCGATTTCTGAAAGTGCACCAGTAGGGGGATGCTTATATTGTCATTATTGGTTTTTATAGCCAGAATGACACAGGACTGTAAAAATGCCAGTTGCTGTAGT